TGTGGCCCAGGATGGCTATGAATGTGGCCCAACACAAAATTGTAAATATACCTAAAATCTGTTTTTTGCTCGTCAGTTTTTGTTACTGTTTGTGTATTTAATGCGTGGCCCAAAACAACTCTTCATCTTCCAGTGTGGCTCAGAGAGGCCAAAAGTTTGGATACGCAGTGGGGTTCTTGGAAAGAGTCCAGCAGTATTTAGAATTTATTTGGGATATAGTTTTAATAATTTGATTTCTAACTTGTTGGGAATGAGAATTATCAATTTAGGAAGGCTGCTTAGTACTATAGTCACATTGCTACAGCATGTGTGACACCAACCAAGGACGGCTGAGGAAAATGGGTGTGATGTAACCAAAAAGCTTGGGCTCTGGTGCCGCTTGGTCATGGCATGTGAAGCCTGTGCATGTTAGTAGATTCCAAGTATTTATATTGCATATCAGATAGTTAAGTGCCTTAGAAATGTGTTTTGGGAACATTTACTTGAAGTAAGTTCCATTAAAAATGTTCGCTGCATTTGGAAAATGAACAGATTCTCACTTAATTCTTTTTGATTATTTATAAGTCTCAGACTTGAACTAATGGTATTTATAGTAGCCCAATCCCTGTAAACTTTAGTAGACAATCTCATGGTCTCCTGTTTATCAATCAGTCAGTCAGTCATCTTGGATCAGATTTCATTGAAATTCACCACTCTAAATTATTTAGAAAAGTTTTTGTTTTTGACCTGTTTGAGTATCAGAGTCACTGTATCCAGTACAGAAATATTATCTAGCCCTGACTATGATGGGGCATAGAGGCAGTGTTTGACGGTACTGATCGGTGAGAGGGGTTCAGAGGTAATGTACTTGGGCTAACCATTACGATCTACACATCTGCCCTGGCTGGTGTGGCTCAGTGGATTGAGTGCCAGCCTGTGAAGCAAAGGGTCACCTGTTCGATTCCTAGTGTGGGGCGCATGCCTGGGTTGTGGGCCAGGTCCCCGGTGGAGGGGTGCATGAGAGGCAGCCACACATGGAAGTTTCCCTCCCTCTCTTTTTCCCTCCCTTCTCCTCCCTAAAAATAAATAAATTAGAAGATCTTAAAAAAAAAAAGATCTACAAGTCTGAAGCAAGCACAGAGGAACCTTCTTCTACAGGGTAAGAAAAACAAACACTTGTGACCTCACATAGGCAGATTGGATGCTTCCCCTTCTCTCTCTCTCTCTCTCCCGACATCTCCTGAGAAGGAGCTGTCCCTTTTTCTATTTTAGGATTACATTTTAGTTTGTTTCCCAGATATTGTCATTATAATGTACCTACTGTGAGAGTAACTTTATTTTAAGGAGATTTAATTTAATTGATAATTAAATACTGAAAACAAATGAACACATTGGAAAATGAGTCTTACATGCATTGTGATGTGTTTAATTCCTCTGGAATAGGAGGAATACTCTATTGATATGTGCAGAGGTGCTTTGCTCTTTTAATGTACTATCAATACTCAGTCACTATTCTCCAGGATTTTCTGTTCTCTTGGCACCTTTGAGCGTTAGTGGTATAGTATAATTAATATTGATGACTCTACTCTCAAGTCCTTACAGGGATTCCAAATCAAGGAGTGATTAAACTATTTGGTACCTTTTTTTTTTTTTTAAGAGAGAGGGAAAAGGAAGGAAAAAGGGGGACAGAAACATCAGTGTGTGGTTGTCTCTTGCACGCCCCCAACTGGGGACCTGGCCAGCAACCCAGACATGTGCCCTAACTGGGAATCGAACCAGCGACCCTTTGCAGGCCAGCACGCAATCCATTAAGCCTTACCAGTCAGGGTATTTGGTATCTTTTAATGATGAAAATCTCTTATTTCTTTGAAAGCTTGTAATTTGAGGTACTTTAAAACCAGAATATTTGATTTTTGGTAATAACTCTAACCATTTTGCATAATTTATACTCATGTGTTTCTTAAGTCTTTTGAGGGGTAAATTTGAAAAGAACACAGTTGCTTTTAAAATTTATGTTATTTCATAATTATAAAGAGGAGAAAGGAGAATACAAAATAGGACATGGTGTATATAACATTACCTGTGCATTAACACATTGGGAAACTGTGGACAAATATTAGCAGTAATAGCTTCTGGGTGGTAGGATTGTGAATAGTTTTATTCCCTTTGTGCTTTTCTGTACTTCCCAGTTTGCTTTTTTAATTTTTTAAGGTTGGAGATACATTATTTTTGTAAGAAGAAAATGTTAATTGAAAAACAATGTTACAGAGAGCTAAGTCTGTAGTAAGACTGTGTTTTGTTTTAATTATGGATTAAGAATGTACTTTCCTGCTCTGACTGGTATAGCTCAGTTGGTTGGAGCATTGTCCTGTGGACCAAAGGGTCATGGATTTGATTCCTGGTTGGGACACATGACTGGGTTGCAGGTTTTGTCCCTCATCAGGGCAAGTGTGAGAGGCAGCTGCAGCCAATTGATGTTTCGCTCTCACATTGTTGTTTCTTTCCCTCTAAAACTGATGAGCATGTCCTTGAGTGAGGATTTTTTAAAAAAGTACTTTTATGGGTGAATTAGTACTTCCTTAGAGTGAAAGTCTGCTGTTTTGGAGAGATGTCTTTATTGCTACATCTCAAAAGAAATCTCATCCCATTGAAGGTTCATGTGTCTGATACAATTTGTTGGTAAAGGAGACACATGGAAAAGTCTCAACTTTTTCTGAGCAGTCTTAACTTCAGAAAGGTCCTCACCTTTCATTGCTACTGCTCTTTTCCTTTACTCATTTTTTTGGGTCTTGACCATAACAAATGCATGTAATCTTAGGAAATGTTTATTTCACACAAAAGTAAAGATTTGTTGTGAGTACAACTTCCTTCCTCCCTCCCTTGTCTCACCCAAGGACATGCTTATTGATTTTAGAGAGAAGGGGAGACAGGGAGAGAGAGGGAGAAACATTAATGTGAGAGAAAAACATGGATTCATTACTTCTCATATGAGACCCCACCAGGGACTGAACCTGCAACCTAGGTGTGTTCCCTGACCAGGAATTGAACCTGTGACCTTTAGGTTTATAGGAGGATGTTCCAACCAACTGAGCCACACCAGTCAGGAGTCTTTAAAAAAATTTTTTTTCTTTTTCAAATTTCTTGAGTAAGAGACTAAAACATGGATTTGTTCCACTTATTTAATGCAATTATTGGTTGTGTCTTGTATGTGCCCTGACCAGAACTGAACCCTCAGCCTTGATGTATGGGGACAAGGCTCTAACAAACTGAGCTACCTGGCCAGGGCAGTACACATTTCAATCATTAGAGCTGTGTTACTGAAAATCGGAATATGATTATAGTTAAAAAAAATGCCATTTTGTGATGAATATAGGTTGGTACTACACAGCAGTTTGTGGCAAGTTGCAAATTACTTGTGCAAAACTATTATAGACACTTATTTATAAGAATAAGTTTGTGTTTAATGCATACTCTGGGTTCATAATGTTCTATTCAGTGAGATATTTAGAAAGGACAGGAAGAAAACTAAGACTAAAAGACATAAAAATATGGGATACTAAACATTATTTTCAGAATCATAGGAGCTTGTAATACATTGTGTTAGATTCTTAAGAGTTAATTTTTCCCTTTGAATTTCATTAATTTGAATTTAATACCTATTCTTCTCACTAAAGCCCAGCTGTATTTAAAAACTGTGTTCATAGTTGATCCTAATGTTACTTAAATGTATCTGAGAAGTTTTGATTGGTGGCACTATAATCATTAATATACCATTTTAAAAGAAACTAATTTTTAGTTACATTTTTGTTAACTAAAAAAATGAAGGGATTGTACTTGATGAGTTTCTAAGATCCCTTTATATTGTAAAATGAAATGAGTGTCTGATGAACTGTTTTCTCTCTAAGAGGCTCCTTAGTGCCTGGTCTCTGATCAGGTTCTTCCTCCACGTGCCCAGGGCCAAAGGCAGTTAAACTTGTACACTTCTCTTGACATTTGTGGAAGAAGGGACATTTTTATACTTTAAAAAAATGTACCTTTTAAGGTAAAATTACAATGTTGAGATTGAGGCAAATAAGAATTTAATTTTTTTTACAGTTGTAGGGGAAAATTTCAGACACATGCAAAAATAGACAAAATAGTATATTTTATCGGTAACTCATGTAATCATCATTCAGCTTCAACAAATAGCAACTCTGGCAACTCATGGCAGTCTTTGGGAATTTGGTTTTATGTATGTTTGCTAAGATTTGCCAAGATAAGTATCTGTATGGTTAAGGTACCGACATCAGAAGCATTTCTGAACAAAGATGTGGCAGTTGGTGGGTGGGATGACTGTTCAGCTGTTGTGTAAGCTTGCATAAATAGTATCATCTTGACTTTAATCTTTAGTTGTTCAGAGGTAGTGAGCATATTTCTGTTTAACCCCTGGAAATGTGCCAGAAGAATTTGTATCCTCTTCATCCATGGCACCTTGACTCTAAATAGGTTGTGAATAAAAACAATGAGTTGATACTAGGTATCTGTTGGATAGAGCCATCGAGAAGGAAAATCTTAATTTCAATTTTAAAAACTTTTGAGTACTACCTGTCTAATACTTTGGAGACTATTAACTTTTTGCTTTTCATCTGTTTGGAAATACACATTATCCTCATTTGAGCATAGACAGAGGTGGGCTGAATCTCAGCTGTCATTCACTCTTTATGTCTCTGAATCTCACTTCTTTCAAAAGTAAAATGGGGTGTGGATTGTTGTGTGAATTAAATGAGACAATAAATTAAACATTGATCATTCTAAAATATCACTTGCACTCCATGATGGAGTTAGGAGTATGAACTGAGTTCAGGTCTTAAATGGATTTGGGTGACTAGAATTGAGAAAGAACTTGACCTCTTGGAAAGCAGAGTCAATCATTATTCTGTCCATCTGACTGGAAGATCTAAACATAGAAAATGTTTCATTTTGTTTGAACAAAGCATGAGGAAAATAATGCCTCTTAATTATTTCTTATCCAATAATTACAGCAAACTCTGGCTTGTTCTATTCTGACTGCACTATTGAGTGAATTCTCAAGTTCAAGTAAAACTAGCAACATTGGACTGAGTATGGAGTTCCATGGTAACTGCAAAAGAGTTTTTCAGGTATTGGTACTTTTGTTCTTATGTTTTAATTATCAGATTGTTCACTTTTTATACAATCTGTTCCCAGTGCAATGTGAACACTTATTTCATCTGGTTAAATGACAGCCTGCCCCTGAAGGTTTGTGTCGTGATTTCATAGGATATAATAAAATGATAGGGTTGGTGAACATAGATGACAAGTTAAAGATACTTGTTTAATGCTAGTGTTTAAACAGAACAAAAAGGAAATACTACTATAAAGATTCTTAGTTTATTTATTTTGTTCTTACAGTGTTTAGATATCATTGCTTCAATTGGTGGGACTTTACTGGCCTTAAAAATAGGCCTGGCAGAATGCCCATGAGGGCTGTGTATTTAAAATGTTATTGCAGATGGTGTGGGCTCTTTGTCTTGTGTGTATTGTTTGTCTCTGAAGTAAAGTTATGTGAAGGCACTGGCTTAAATCCGAGGGCCCTGCACTAGATCAACTGACCCCTCCAGCTCTGTCTAGTTGTCAGATTCGCCTCTCCACAGACTAGCATTCATGTCACATTAAGTGTGTTCAAACTGGTGTCACTTGAAAGCTCACTGTGGTGAAAACTATGAGCAGGCCTGAAAATGGAAAATGTTCCTAAAGAAACAGTGTTTTCCATTGACAATATTAAGGTTTTTGGTTTTTTTCTTTTATGGTTCTAAAAGGGAATGCATTTTGAATAAGCTTTTGACATAAAAATATTTCTGACTTACTGCAGGAAGAAGACCTTCGTCAGATCTTCGTGTTGACGGTAGAAGTTCTTCAGGAGTTCAGCAGGCGGGAAAACCTCAGTGCTCAGATGTCCTCAGTATTTCAGCGTTACCTTGCACTCGCCAATCAGGTCTTAAGCTGGAACTTCCTTCCTCCAAATTATATCCTTTAACAACTGAATAGATGACAGTTATGGCTGAAAGTACCTTGTCTCTGTGGTTTGTGAAACATGTTGAAAGAAAACAAGTGTTTTTAGAAGTGGAATTCTTTTATTTTATAATACACAGTGCAGTGGACTACTTAGGGGATTTAAAATTACATTTACAACTTTGTAGAAGAAGGTTGACTAAAGGGAAAACTTGGCTGGATATTGGTACTCTTGCTCCCTAAAGGAGGAGCAATTACACTTAGGCAGGAAAAGGAGAAAGATAGGAAGTATAATTCTATCAAGCAACGAATCATTTTCTCCTTGTAGATGTAATGACTTGGAATTATTATTTTTTTTACATTTTTTTATTGTATTATTTTTATATTATCATTTATCCCTCCTGTACCCTCTTACAGCCCACCCTGCTGTCCCCTGGATTTTTTGATTGACTTTTCCTTGAGGCCAGTTTGGTGTTCTCTAACTTGATTTATATGGTGACAGTATTGTACAAGTGTAAGTAATAAGGTAGTAATGTTTATTCTTTGAAGATCTTTCCCAATTGAAAAATACAAAAATTTTATTTCTAGCAAATTATTTATTAGTAATACAAAAGCACTTTAAATGGATTAGGTTACAAATTGAAATATCTGCTCTTTTAATCAGTTACTGAAGTGCGGAAGTTTGTATTTTGGAAAGCACCTCTTTAGCTTAGAGTTTACAATTTGCTCTTCCAGAAGACTTGCTGCCCATTGATAGAGATTGAAAGTGGTGCTGCGCAGTTGCTCTCATTTGTGTCACATTGAGTCCAGCACATCTAGGTTCAGTCTCAGCTGATCAAAAGCAAATTACTTAACCTGAGTCTCAGTTTTTCCAAATGTAAAATGGGGGTGTGGATTGTTAAGTGGATTAAATGAAACAATGCATTTATAATACTCAATAGTTATACACTATATGTTGAGCCCCTAATAGTCTCCTTGAATAAAGAAGTTCATCAGCTAGCTACCTGCATGTGCTCTTTTTTCTTGATCTGACATACTCTCTGTGGTACAGGAAGTTATAGTAAGTTTATTTTAACAGCCCTTTCCTAAAGGTAGTTATAGTGAACTGCTGCTCTGTGGGCAAAGCTTACCAGAGGGTTATGACTTTCTCCTTTTATCCCTAGTCTCTAATCATCTTTCTCCTAACAATCAATATTATAGCTTTATTGCATATTTATTTATTTTGGTTGTTAAGAGGCACATAAGAATTTCTAATATGCACTTAAAAAAAATTCCCCTTAGTGTGTTGAGTATAAATTTTGCTTCAGTTTTTGTTAGTAAAAAGACGTTGAAAAACTTTGAGACAAATTTACAAAGTAACAGGTCATATGGAGCTATCAAAACATTAATTATATATGTAGGGAAAATCAACAGAAGTCACAATGCATATATTTTAGCCAACTTTAAAGTCTCTGTTTTAGCGAAAAACATAGTTGGCTGGAGTGTGACTATTTTGTAAATGAAGACTGTTCTGGGAGTTTGAATACAGTTTGTCTAAAGGTAAGATATTTTTACAAAGTGTTTAGTTATTTGGAAAAACTGTCATCTAAAAATTATAAGCATAGGAACAATGTTGCTAAAGGAAGTAACTGCTCGTTTGAAGAGAAGTAGCTCTCCATCTTGACTTGGGATATTCTGCTTCCTGGCTTACAGTGAGTTTTTACATGACTATGATATTGTGTAGCAGCCCTTTGCTGGCTTGCTGAACCATAGGTGAGAGGAATTAGTTTCAAAAATTCCAGTTCTGTCTGACATAATTTCTAATCTTAGCAATTACTTGAGATTTATTCAGTCAGAGGGGGAGAATTGAATAATTATTTAGCTTTTGTACCTTGAAGAGGGTCTAATGATCAAATTTAACTTAGTTAATATATATACAGGGTGGAGCAAAAGTAGATTTACAGTTGGGACTGTGAAACAGTTTATTCTTATGTTATTATTTATTAATTATTATTTTCCATGCAAACCACTGTACACACACTTTTGCTCCACCCTATATTATGTTGATGGCTTTAAAAAAATGGTGTTTCTTTTAGGATAGACAGATGAATAGTAGTTAGACCTTGTAAAATAATGAGTATTTTTTTAATCAAATATATGTGATCATTTAGAATGGTATAATGTTAAATGAGGCTGTATTACATTATCAGTGTCAATCCTCATCTATAATTTACAATTTTTTGTAACCTTTCTTTATTGTATATTTTTATTTTGATGTCATTTTAAAAATATAGAAATACTACAAGAGTAGTTCAAAGAATTGTCATATTCCCTTTATCAGGATTCACTGACATTAACATTTTGTATTTTGTCCCATTTAGTTTTCTTCTCCCTACACACACACATTTGTACTCATATATGTTTATGGATATATTTAAATTCATTCTTCTTCCTGAACCATTTGAGAACAGATGCACATATTATACCCATTTACTTCTGAATACTTGCCTGTGGGTTTTCCTGTGATTAAGAATTTTGAAGTCTGTGGTTCTTACAGAATGTCTTGAAAAACTATAGTACAGTTTTCAAAATCAAGAAATTAAATGTCAATATAATATAATTAGATTAACAGTCCATATTCAAATTCTGTCAGTTGTCCCAGTAATACCCTTTTTAGCTATGTTCAGTACCTTATATTTAGTTATCCTAATTATCTTTGATCTGGAACAGGTTTTCAGTCTTGTCATTCATGAATTCAACATACTTGAAGACTACAAGTTAATGCTTTAAAAATGTCCCTCGCCCTGGCTGGTGTGGCTCAGTTGTTTGGAGCATAGTTCGATCCCCAGTCAGGGCACATACCTAGATTGCCAGTTTGGTCCCTGGTCAGAGTGCATACAAGAGGCAACTGATTGATGTTTCTCTCCCTCTCTTTCTCCTTCCCTTCCCTTGTCTCTAAAATCAATAAGCATGTCCTTGGGTGAGGATTATACCTCATTTTGGGTCTATGTGATGTTTCCCTGTGATTAGATTCAGGTTACTTGCTTTTTGTAGGACTATACCATAGTAATGACGTTGTCTCCTTCTCAGTACTTTATGGCAGGAGGCACATGGTGTCATCTTGTCCCATTGTGGGAGTGTCTACATTGATCACTTGGTTAAGGAGGTGTCTGCCAAGTTTTTCTCCCACTACACCCCTGGCAACTACTGATCTTTATACTGTTTCCATAGATTTTTCTTTTCCTAAATGATATGTGGTTGGAATCAGATGGTATGTAGTCTTTCAAAGTGGCTTTTTTTCACTTAATATGCTTTTAAAGTCTCTCCGTGTCTCTTCAGGGCTTGATAGCTCTTTTCTTTTTTTATCACTGAATAATATTCCATTGCCTGGATGATAGTTATCCATTTAACTATGGAAGAACATCTTGATTGCTTTCAAGTTTTGGCAGTTATGAAGAAAGATCCATATGTAGTTTTTGTGTGAACATAAATTTTCAACTTCTTTAGGTCAGTAAATACCAAGGATCACAGAAGAGTATTTTAATTTTGTAAGAAACTGACAAATATTTCCAAAGCGACTGAAACATTTTGTATTTACACCAGCAGTGGATGAGAGTTCCTGTCGCTTTACATCCTCACCAGTACTTGGTGCTCTCAGTGTTCTGGATTTTGGACATTTTAATAGATGTGTAGTGATATCTTATTTTAATGTGCATTTCCCTGATGACGTATGGTGAGGAGCATCTTTTGAATTGCTTTTTTGCATCTGTATGTCTTCTTTGATGAGGTGTCTGTTAAGGTCTTAGGCCCATTTTTTATCAAGCTGTTTATTACTGTTCGACCTTAAGAGTTCTTTGTATATTTTGGATAACTCTTTCATCGGAAGTGTCTTCTGCAAACATTTTCTCCCAGTCTGTAGTGTATCATCTCATTTTCTTGACATTGTCTTTCACAGAGTATGGGGTCCCTGTTCGGGCCAGGTGAGGGTGGTACCGCATCCCACAGAGACCCCCCGCAGTCACCATGGATGAGGAAGAAAGTTGTTCCAGACACTCTCAGTCTGCTAGGAAAAGGGGATGGCAATTCCCTCTAGTGGAGAATGCCCCAGCCCTTCTCTTGAAGTGGCTTTTATTGAGGACGATATGCATAGGGGTATACAGCATGCATGCAAAGCTCATCAATCAACGCCGAAGAGCTGTGTTTACAGAAAACAGATGGAGATCATAGGTAACAATTGAAGGAACACAGAGATTTGCCTCAGGTCAGGGTCTGGTAGACAGGGTGGCACCCATTCGGCCCTGAAACCTGGGAAACTGATCTCATCCTTTACTCCCCAAACATCAGTACTCATTAACTTGAGGACATTCTTAGCAACGTAAGTTTCATAGGATTTAATGCATCCTTTTTCCAGGACTAATTGCCCCCCGGGGAACCACCTGATCCAGTTTGGGGCTGTACCTGCCTTTAGTATTGTTTCACTGACCTGGTCAGGCGTGTGGAGCAGAGCAGCCAAGAGATAAGGAGACTTCTTTCAGATAGAATGAGGACTCTGGCCATGACAAAGCTGAGGGGTGAGGGTCTTTTGCCCCTTCTCCGTGTCCCCCAAGTCCTTCCCTGATGGCCCCCATGCAACTGTGCCTGTCTTAGGTTGCCCCTGCCATCCAGGGGTCTTACCCGTCATTGACTAATCAACCATTCTCCAGGGCCAAGCAGGCCCTGATGTGAGGGAGGCAGGGGCTGAGCCCCTTCCAGGGCGACAGGTTTTGTCTCCTCAGTGGCCTATTTTTCCAAGGCCTCCTTGCTCAGCGCCAGCCTTGGGGCCCTCTCGCCTGTTAGTGAGGCTACAGTTCCTGAAACCAGGCGGGATGGTTCCCAAAAACAGAGCAAAAGTTTTTAATTTTAATGAAGTTCATCTTATCAGTTCTTTTTTTCATGGATCGTGCCTTTTGTGTCATATCTAAAAGTCATTGCCAAGCCATAGGCCACCTAGTTTTTCTCCTACTATCTTCTAGGAATATTATAAATTTTGTGTTTT